GGTCAGTCCAGGCAGGCCTTTCCAGGGATTCTCCCTCCCTATCCTGGGTACAAAGCGAAGCCATCCAAGATTTCCAGCAGGGAAGTAACATAACCACTTTGGGTCATAAAAGCATCACCCAACTCCCTCCATGGAGGTGGGACTGGAGAAAAGCAAAGAGGAACTTGGGAGACCAGCTAGGAGGCTGTGAGGGTAACGGCTCAGAACTGGGGGTGGGGGTGGAAAGGAAGAGAGGCATTTTCAAGGTCAATTTGGAGCTTTGGAGGTCATCATGTATTCTATTTCACAACTCAAATGTACACATGTGGGGGGAAAATGTCTTCTGGAAAGGCCAAAGCACAAAAAGTAGAGACTACTTTGCCAGAATCCCAGCTAGACTCATTAGCACCTATCCAATACAAACCCACACCCTACAAAACACTTCAAGCTGCTTCTGAAAGCCCTGGAGGTTTTCTGTAGAACTAACACTTGAACCCAAATTATCCCTAAGCTTCTTGCAAGGTTTTCTTTTTCTTACCAGCAAGTTTTCAGAGTGTCAAAGAAAGCCTGACAGTGAAGTAGAAACAAAAAGTTCACTGTGATGAATACAGGTAATCCTTGATGTCCTCACTTCAACCCAACTGTAAACTAGCTCAATCTTGGAACATTTTTTCTTTCTGATACAGGAACCATTCTAGGAGAAGAAACCCTGTTTAGCATATGCTCTATTAAAGGCTTCAGTTAAACACACACACATAAACACACACATCAAGAGAGAAAAATGTGCAAAGCATTCCAGATTATTCATGGGCATCTGTCTCTTTACACTGCACTCCAGAGACTAAAGTGGAGCACACAGTGTGATGGATATCATGCAGTTTACACAGTAAATGAATGACTTTCATTATAATAGGAAAACAACTGCACATTATACATACATTTCCTCTCCTCTTAAAATAAATCCCTGCTACCCACATGGTAAACACACGTCAAACCTACACATAAACTTCGTGTATACGCCTCACTGTTCATCTAACACATGAAATCATACAATATAAGGCAAGACACCTATTCAACACTACCCAGAATATAATGGAAGCCAAAACCAAAGATGAATATGACCATCAATAATTATGCATTCTACAACACAAGCTCTTCAGTAGTAGTCTCCCCTTTTGCATTTATACTGTGAAAACCAGTTTTGTACTAAAAAAATGGAAAATCAGGGCTTCTCTGATGGCTCAGTGGTGAAGAGTCTGCCTGCCAATGCAGGAGTCATGGGTTCTATCCCTGGTCCTGGGAGAACCCACATGCCATGGAGCAACTAAGCCCAGGCCCCATAACTATTGAGCCTGTGCTCTAGAGCCTGGGAGTTGTAACTACTAATGCCCGTGTGCCCTAGAGCCCGTGCTTTGCAACAAGTCACCGCAATGCGAAGCCCCACACACCAGAGTAGCCCCTGCTCACTGCAACTGGAGAAAAGCCCATGCAGCAGTGAAGACCCAGCACAGCCAAAATAAATAAATATTTTTTAAATGTAAAATGAAATTTTCAAAAATATGCAATCACTATGTTGTGTAACAGGAACTAACACAGTGATGTTGTTACCTGCACCTCAAAACAAACAATCTCATAGAAAAAGAGATCCAATCTGTGGCTATGGGAAGGGGGGTGGCTGGGGGAAGATGGTCAAAAAGTACAAACTTCCAGTTATAAGTAACTACTAGGGATGGAAAGCATCACATGATAAATATAATTTATACTGCTATATGTTATACATGAAAGTTAAGATGATAAATTCTAAGAGTTCTTACCACAAGAAAAAGTTTTTTTCTATTTCTTTAATTTTCTATAAGATGATGGGTGGTCATTAACTTACTGTGGTAATCATTTTATGATGTATGTAAGTCGAATCATCACACCATCCACCTTATACAGCACCATGTGTACATTCTATCTCAATAAAACTAGAAGAAAGAAAAACTAAAGACAAAAATTTTTAAGTGTGTTTAAAATATAAAATAAAATGATATTGTTTAACCTCAAGGAATGGTGTCATCATTTCTATCTTTATCGCTGTTAAGGCCTTTGGCATCTTTGAAGTTGTAATGACGTATTACAACACATCATACATACACAACTGCCTGCCAGCATCTCCAATGCTCCTGATCTTCTTTGGCATCTTGCGTGATAAGACTCAGCTCTTTGAAGAAGCCTTCCCTGACCCTTTATGGTAGAGTGGACCCTCTATCCACTGACCTCTCTGCCCACTGTCCTGTGTACACATTCCTCTCTAGATTTACAGCTGCCTCAACAGACTTTCGGAGAAGGCAATGGCACCCCACTCCAGTACTCTTGCCTGGAAAATCCCATGGACGGAGGAGCCTGGTGGGCTGTAGTCCATGGGGTCACTAAGAGTCGGACACAACTGAGTGCCTTCACTTTCACTTTTCACTTTCATGCATTGGAGAAGGAAATGGCAACCCACTCCAGTGTTCTTGCCTGGAGAATCCCAGGGACGGGGGAGCCTGATGGGCTGCCGTCTATGGGGTTGCAGAGAGTCGGACACGACTGAAGCGACTTAGCAGCAGCAGTAGCAACAGACTTTATTTTCTTGGGCTCCAAAATCACTGCAGATGGTGACTGCAGCATGAAATTAAAAGACGCTTGCTCCTTGGAAAAAGAGCTATGACCAACCTAGACAGCATATTAAAAAGCAGAGACACTACTTTGCCGACAAAGGTCCATCTAGTCAAGGCTATGATTTTTCCAGAGAGCTGGACCATAAAGAAAGCTGAGCGCAGAAGAATTGATGCTTTCAAACTGTGGCATTAGAGACGACTCTTCAGAGTCCCTTGGACGGCAAGGAGATCAAACCAGTCAATTCTAAAGGAAATCAGCCCTGAATATTCATTGGAAGGACTGATGCTGAAGCTGAAACTCCAATACTTTGGCCACCTGATGTGAAGAACCGGCTCATTAGAAATGACCCTGATGCTGGGAAGGATTGAAGGCAAGAGGAGAAGGGGACGACAGAGGATGAGATGGTTGGATGGCATCACCAACTCAATGGATATGAGTTTCAGCAATCTCCAGGAGATGGTGAAGGACAGGGGAACCTGGCATGCTAGAGTCCATGGGGTCGCCAAGAGTTGGATACGACTGAGCGAATGAACAGCAACTCTTCAGACCAGGGCCTTCCAGGACATAACACAGAACCTTTCACAGGAAAGGTTGTCAAATACTTGTGGAATGACTTGAATGAATAAACAGACTGGATCCACCCAACCTCTGTAACTTTTAATTTTTTCCACCTGCACTCTCCTAAATGTTAATAACTCTCAACTCAATGACATTTCAGACAACCTCCCATTCCAACCACCCCTTCCCCAACCGCTATTTCTTTCTGTTTCCTGACAGGTGATTTCTGGTTTGAAGTACTACACTGCTTACGGCGTGTTTATGAAAACTAGTTTGAGGAACAAGTGACAATATTGCTTGCTGTTCAGGTTTGCACACATGGTTTTATAAACAACAGGTTTGACTAGATTAGAAAAGGCCTTGACTCCCAAAATTCACATTCCATAGGGAAAAAAAAAAGCACCTGATATCATGTCACCCTATTACTATTGACATTCACATCAGACATCATTTTTATCAAGAGCTCCCTTCATCATGAAAAAAAAAAAAAGGATGCCCTTGGAAAGGGCAGAGAGTGCATGAGCTAAATTCCTCACTCCAGAATAAATTATTTAGCACCACTTAAACCCTGAAAGCTTTGAGCCATCTATTTTGTGGTTTATGGCACTCTCCTTTAAGTTTACAATTTCCCGACTGTGATGCAACAATTTAATTGCACAGTGCAAAATCAATACAATTGAATTTTACTGTTGGAACTGACATTATGTAGCGAACTAAAAGATTTTATTCTTCCACTGATATGAGACAATTGTAAAAATTGCTTTTACAAAGAGGCACTTAGGAACCACTCCAGAATTTAGGAATAAATTTTTCCTCCTGGACTTACTGCAAAGCAATGGCCCCCTGTCATCAATAGGAGCCCTGGGGCCTCTTACGTCCCGCCCACTCAGCTTTGACTTCGCGGTCAAGGGCCTAGGTTTTGAAGAGATCAACCAGCCAAGACAAGGCGCTCTAGAGGCAGTGACAAGAGACAGCCAGTTGACTGCTGAAACAGGTTTTGTCACTAGTTTTGGGTTTTTATCGGGAACGTCGGTCACCTTTTTCGCTCTAAATTGTATCAGTAGTACAACTACGAGAAGGAAGGTTTGGTACAGGAGTCAGTGTTGCCAGTGTTATTTAACTGGAGAGACCTGGAACCAGTTGCTTTTGTCGAGCTGGTAAGAGCTGCTGTTGTTCAAAACACACCAGCAGACGATCTGTAAGTTGCAACCCACTGGAAAACGCAAGAAGGCGGAAGGACAGATAATACATTTAGACTAGAGCGAACACGGATCATCTACTCGGCCCAAGGTCCACTGCAGTTGATAGATAGCCTGAAGACGCAGAAGCAGAAGGGCGGGTCTCAAGCCTTAGATTCAACAAGCTTCCCGAGTGCCTTCAACGCACCTGCACCTAACTCGCTTCCCTGCACCTGTCATTAGGAAGGCTTGTTTCTCTTTCCACTGCTCAGAGCAACCAACAGGGGGGAAAAAAATAAAAGGTTTTTTTTTAAAAGCAGCAACCTAGTGCTAGACCAGAAGGGAGCGTTTATCAGCCTATCAGCAGCCCCATTACTCAACAGACAACTAGGGTTCCCTCCATCCAGCCCTCAGTTCACCGCGCACCCCCCAAGGACAAGAGGTTAGATCTAGCTGCAGCCAAGGCCAGGCCTGGGCGGCAGCTCCAGAGAGGCCAGCCTCCCGGCGAAGCGGGAGATGCTCGGGCGCTGCCTCCTGCCTCGCTCGCTCGCTCGCGGTGCGGGTTCGGCCTGCGCCGGGGCGGGGAAGCTGGGCCTCCCGCCCGCTCAGCATCCCTAGTCCGCCCGCACCCGTGGCACCCACCTTGGGCGTGCGGATGTGTTCCATGGCAGGCCCAAGTCCGCAGGTCCCGGGCTAGCGCGGCCTCCGGCACCTGCGCGCGTCCACAGCGCGGCGGGAGGGGAGCGGGGAGGGGGCTTCGCGCCCGGGATGGGGCGGGCCGCGGGCCTGGCTCCGCCCCCAGGTGCGGCGGCGCCCGGGCGAGGCCGGCGTGCGGGGCCCCGGGCGCCCGCGCGGCCCTAGAGCGCGCGGCTCTGCGCTCCGGCCACCTGCGCCCCCCCATGCCGCTGCCGCGTCCCTGGCAGGGCTGGGGTCGCGGGAGCCAGCGCCGCTGGCTTCCCCTGAAGAAGGCCAGCCGGCGCAGGACTGTGGGGGTCACTGTTCCCCGAGACACAATGGGGGCCTTGTGCCGGGTGTGGCCTCTTGGAGGACAGAAGGGGCCAGGCGCTGCTCCACACCGCCCATCGGCTTCCTTCCAGAGCGTCCCGGCATAGGTGGGACTTCAGGGTGGGCCTGGAAAAAAGGCTGCCACGAGCACTCCTGATGCAGTGTGGCCTGGTGGGCTCTGACTGTTTCAGCACAGCCGGCAAGTCACTAGGGACGAGGCTGGAAATGTAGCAACAGTGTTTGCGCCCTAGAACGCGCTGTTAAGTCAGGCATCTCACATCAACCTGTGACTTCACTGTTGGAAGTGACGCTCTCCCCTGGCACTGAATTGGGTTCTCATTGGCATCCTCACTTAGCTCTAAAGGACCTGAAAGACACAAAGCATCCATTATATAAGGGCTTCCCAGGTGGCCCAGTGGTGAAGAAACCCGCTGCCGATGCAGGAGACACGGGCTGGATCACTGCATCAGGAAGGTCCCCTGGAGAAGGAAATGGCAACCTACTTTAGTATTCTTGCCTGGAAAATGCCATGGACACGGGTGCCCGGCAGGTTATATATAGTCCCCTAGGGTCTCAAAGAATCTGACAGGCCTGAGCACATGCACACACACACACACACACACACACACACACCACATCCATTACAAGGTATTAGTTTTTTCCATTTATGAATTTGGAAAAGTCAAAGAGAAGAAATGTGCCCCACTCCCGCCTTTTTTTTCTTGCAAACTTGTGTGTAAAGTTTCACGATAACTAATATTTCACAAAACTGTTTATAGTTCTTAGAATAATATCTATCAAAATTTTTTTCTAGCTCGTACTCATCTCCCTTTCTACCTGGCTTGTAAATTCTTTAGCTAGAGACATTGATTATCTCTTTTTGTCCAGTACACCCTAGGCACATTGCATTGCAACCTTCCAAATAAATGTTTACTTAATCAATAGAGTGTTGCACCTGCTTTTAAACTTCCAGGGCCCCTTCACATACCTTTTATCATTTCATCCTCCTCCCACTCAGGGAGACAATTAGAACAAGTTCAGTAAACTGATGTTTGCATATGGCAAAACTGACCCAGGGTATAATTTCTTCCTTATTACAAAAACAACAACAAGAGTAGTGTCAGGAGCTCTCTGGTTTCCATTCAGCCTCTGACTTTGGGCTCCTCATTTATGAAATGAGAAAGTCACCAGCCTACATAATCTCAAAGGTAGCTTCCATCTCAGAATTCCGTTAGTGCTAGGAATTCTATATCCATTCTGAGGGGATACATTCTGAAAGAGATAATAATCTTGGAATTATGTGATTTCAGGGTTTTTCTGTATCTTATAGTGACAAATTTTTGCATACAAGTCTTTTGGACCTTACATATTAGCAAAGTTGTTTTAAAGCACCCAAAACACAAATTGGTGAGTAGAAAGATATAAATCTGAACACTATAAATAGTCTCATGCTAAGAGAAATTTCCAGGTTCGCTCACAAAAACAGCTTCCATTCATCATAGCTATAAAATCAGCATTAGGTGAAAAATGAGTCAAAAATTCCATTCCATTTATTAGGATAAGTTAACATAGAATAGGCTAGAAATAAAAATAGGGAAAGAAATCTCAATAAATAAGTAAACATTTGGGTTTGATCTAATAATTCCCTGAGGAATCCCCTTTGATTTGACCCCCAGCCCCAGTTGCTATCCGGCTTATTGGATCACAAGCTGTGTTGACCCCAGTCAGCCACACTGCACTTTCTGATGCTTAAACTTCCTCCTACCCCCATGTTTCACTGATTCTCTGAACCACCAACCGGTGGAGCAGAAGAAATTGAACAAAGCAGCAAGAGTTGGAGGGCAGTGCGGAGTGAGAGAAGAGACTACATCATTGAAATGGCTGACTATGTTGATCTGAGCTAGGGCAGAAAGTGAAACCAGCTATTCGTTTAGTTAAAAACACTGATATGAAACACTGATGGTCATGCATAAGGTACCATGGCAGAGGCTGGGAAATTGAAGGGAGACCCAGAGGAGGAAAATATGAAGTTCCACAGCAGTGACATGAATAACACCAAGGAGCTGAAAAGTAGACCGATAAGATGGCAACAGGGCATGTGGAAGTGCCAAAAGTAGCCTCAGGGGAGATTGATTCACTTCCTACATTTGTCATATTAATTATACGGAAAATAATAAGTGAACTCAGGATCATATACTTAATTCCTCAAGTATGATACTGGTGTGTTTGTGGTGAACCACAGGCCGTTTGGATAAACGTTGCCCCTCTGTGTCTTCACAGAATAGAATCTCTCCAAGACCTCAACTGTATTGTGTGCTACCAAACTTCTCCTGGAGAACCTCTTCTTAAGAAGTTTTTATCACACAGATATTCTAGTTGCAGATAATACTACTACTGGAATTTTTAAATCCAAACTTGATATTCACTGGGAACTTTCCGAAAATGCTGTGATCTTCAGCGACCCGAGGAGATTTGGAGACATATGAAACACTTGAAAGACGTTTTCCGGAATTCTTATATTTCTCCTGAGGCAGCTAAAACTTCTTATTTGGAGTGAAGCCAAGAGCTCTTTCCTCAGGAGGGTAGTATTGCTAATGATTACAAACTCAGGAAAATCCTGTTCAGCACTAATAAGCCCCAGCTGTCCATGAGGATCTGGGTAGAGGAGGGCACCCATGTCTATAGAAGCCGAGTACCAGCTCGAAGCAGGCTAGATGCCCAGTAGGATCAAGTGAGAGCTACATTTGGGGTTCTGCAAAGAAATAGCATCCTCACTTCCAGGATTTTTATAAAGTCATTGATGCCAAATACCAATGTCTTCTTTGGCCTTGCTCTATGCCAAATGTAGAGAACAAGCGCTCTGTGGATTGCAGGCAGCTCTGCCCTTTTTCTAGGGACCAAAGGGGAACCTCTGGGCCAGCATGGAAGGAGTGCTAACTCTGAACAGGCAAGGTTTTAAAATAGAATGTTGGGCCCAGAACCACCATGCTCCCTTGACATCAAGCCCTGATGCTAAGATATACTTTTCATTTTGATCCCATTTTCACCTATAATAAGTTTCCCTCTCTCTCTTTAGATGGAGTTAGATAGTGGGGCAGGTTGATAATCATCACAGGCTCCCTAATCTTCAGACTTTTGCAAGTATCCAGGCACGGTTCAAATTTTTGTAAATTCAGTAGGTTCATCAGCTTCTATGAAAGTATTTGCAGTAATTGCAACAGAGCCCTATGGGGCCAGGATTCTTTCTGCCTGCCAACAATCTGGAAGCATCTGAGCCCCAGTTCCAGTCCACTCAAGACTTCCCTGACACGTTTTGATTAGTGAAACAGAACATTAGAAACATTAGAGATAAAAAATAAATAGAATTTTTAAATAAAATGTGGTGTGACTCTGTATGAAATACTATATGACCTTGAAAGTTTTTTCCCAAAGGATATTTAATGACATAGAAAGAAGCTCATAACAAAATTTTAAGCCAAAAAGCCAGATACTAGACTGTATATAGAGTGTGATCTGAGTTGTTTTTCAAAACGAGTGTGTATAAGTGGATAACCCACAAGGACATACTGTGCAGCACAGGGAACTCTGTTCAGTGTTATGTGCAGCCTGGATGGGAGGGGAGTTTGGGGAGAATGGATACATGGATATGTATGGCTGAGGCCCTTTGCAGTCCACCTGAAACCATTACAACCTTGTTAATTGCCTATCTTACAATATAAAATAAAAAATTTAAAAGAAAGGATCTGAGACCCTACATGACCATGTGGAGGAGACCTTCTTAACATCCTGAAGCACTTGAATCAGGAATTTTATGTACCAGATTTTAAAATCATCGTTGCTTTTAATAGTAAAAAAAAAAAAAATCTTTAAAAAATATGAGTGTGTGGGTATGTGTGTAAGTAATCAGAAAAAGTATAGGCATAACAATTACATCTGGGTGGTGGATTTGTGGGTGATTATAATTTTGTTTTTTTGTAATTTTTACAAATATTTACATTACATATTTTCATAATTGCAAAGAATGTGTCCTTTAAAAGGTCATTTCAAATAAAAATAAGTAATAATCAATAAACATGTCATAGTGTCAAGAGTTAAAGCAAATTTTTTTGTGGAGAAAATTTTACTTTACTTTTAAAAAAAAAACTACTGAAGAGTTAAAAGACCTTTTAAGTGTGTACTTCCTAAAATTTCAAGTCAAAGATAATATTTCTGAAAAGTAATCATTTTTCAAGCATAAAATTGGGCTTATTTTCTATGAGGAAACAATAAAAACAATATCCCAAATGTGCATCAATAGCTGGAAAAAGAAAAGAGGAGGGCACTCCCTCTTGAGCTGTCAGGATTTTGGCAATGATATTTTTACAACCAAAAAAAAAAAAAAAACACGCAAAGATTTTTCTATGAAGTACAATCCAGCTTTGAGGAGGGTTCTGTGGTGCTTAAAAGCCAATGTTCTATAAATATTACTTATCTTTAACTTTAAGTAAAAATCTGAGATGGGTCTTTGGTGTTTGGGTCATACATAATTAATAAAACCTTATCTTAATCCCCCTCTTTTTAAAATTTAGATGCAGATGCTAAATACTGACAAAATGCATATGAACATAGACCTTGTAGCCAGGACAATTTGAGATTTTTAATAAACAGATAAAGAGTTGTTC